CAAATAATTTATTTAAGGCTTGTCTACACACAGTTTTTGTACTGCTTTGACTACAGTAGAACCTCAGAGTTATGAACACCTCAGGAACGGAGGTTGTTCATAACTCTGAACAAAACTTTATGGTTTTTCTTTTGAAAGTCTACAACTGAACATTGACTTAATACAGCTTTGAAACTTTACTATGGAGAAGAAAAATGCTGCTTTCCCTTTATTTTTTAGTAGTTTAACAAAGTACTGTACTGTATTGGGGGAGGGATAGCTCAGTGGTTTGAGCATTGGCCCACTAAATCCAGGGTTGTGAGTTCAATCCTTGAGGGGGCCATTTAGGGATCTGGGGCAAAAATTGGGGATTGGTCCTGCTTTGAGAAGGGGGTTGGACTAGATGACCTCCTGAGGTCCCTTCTAACCCTCATATTCTATGATTTGCTCTGTTGCTGCTTCATTGTGTACTTCTGGTTCCAAATGAGGTGTGTGGTTGACTGGTTAGTTTGTAGCTCTGAGGTTCTACTGTATTAGGAACTTTAACTCATTCCCCTTGTGCATGTGCATTATGATAGTCTTTAATTACATGACCACATTATCTTTTCCAAAGAACCCCTGCCTTATTAGGGCATATGGTGGGGAGAGCAGAATTAAAGTTGTGTGGGCAACCTGCCAAGTGCTTGATGGTGCTTGTGCATCCTTGTGTGCACTCTAGCCTCTCAAAGGCTTTTCTAGCATACTACAGCCAAGGCCTGACCACGTGCTTCTGGAAGAAGGATGGTATTGGAATGAAGGACTGAAAGTTGGGACTCTTGGGTCCAATTCCCACCTTTGCAGGTTCCTAGCTTCAGGGCTGCCTGATTAAATACAAAATTAGGAAAATATGCTCAGATTCTCTAATGCAGCGGTACTCAAACTGTGGGTCAGGACCTCAAAGTGCGGGTTGTGACCCCATTTTAATTGGGTCGCTGGGGCTGATGTTAGACTCACCGGGGCCTGGGGCTGAGGTCGAAGCCTGAGCCCTGCTGGCCTGCATTGAAGCCAAAGTCTGTGGGCTTCAGCCTGTGGCGGTGGGGCTCAGAGTCCAGCCCCACTACCTGCCTTGGGAGGCGGGGCTCTGCCCCCATCCCCGCCCAGGGTCATGTAGCAATTTTTGTTGTCAGAGAAGGGGGTTCCGCTACAACGAAGTTTGAGAACCACTGCTCTAATGCTATGGAAATGCAAAGCAGTGTTTTGTGTGGGTGCATGCACACAATCCAATTGCTAGGGGGAGCTGCCTCTCCACCTTCCTTCCACAGCCTCAACTCTTCAGCAATGAGGTGTTTTTTTTTTTTTTTTTTTTTTTTTAATCTTGCTTTACTAACCTCCAGTTAACAGGACCTACTGGGCTTCTGCTCTTAAGTGCTACACCCCCCTTTTGTAGCTGTTTGTCCTGGGTTTACCACACCACCTGATGTAAAACTGAGGAAAATGCTAAAACAGTTCAGGCACATGATGTAAGGGAAATATACACACTGAAAATGTGTTGGGGTTCCAGAAGTATGACCCACGCCCATCTCCTTCAGTCCTGCATCTCAGGATATAAGAAACTCTAGACCAGCTAGAAGCTGTACAAAGGGAGACTGTCTCTACAATGTAAAACAGGTGAAGTGGTCTAAGACACACTTGCTTTTCTTGGGCAAGACCTCATAAAATCAGAGGACACGTCCTTCAATTTTGCTCAGTTTTGCTGTGTAAAAGAATGAAAACTGGCACCTGCTAGAGTAGAAAACCTCCCAAACATTTTAGAAACTAATCTGTCACTGTATTAAGTCACACATGCTGCCCTCCCCTCTGTTTATATACCAAACCAGAATACAAGCAGAATAGCTGGACTGTGCTGAGAGCAGGGTGTATGCTGGGATGTCTCTATGCCCCTTGGGCTCTGTTGTGCCTTTCTTTGCAACAGAATGGAGGGCTGCGGGTGTAGCCACTAGACAGGTCTGTGCTGCAGTAGGTGACAACCAATGTATGAGGTGTACGGGAACCCCATTTGTCTCTACCACTAGAGCACCAGTGCAGCTATTCCATACCAACCCAGCAGGCTAAGGGGCAAAATACTCCACCCAAAGACAGATTTTTGAGCTTTGGTGAGAGGTGGCACCATTTGGCCCCATGTGTTCTGTATTTCTTGCCTAATTTTCTTGCTAAGGATAATTGCATACCATAATCTTTCCTTTTCTGTGACCTCATAACTGGATCTGGAAGAAGCACACCTGATTTTTGGATCTGTTTTCGATTCTTAACTATGGAGCAAATTCATATCCCACCGGTCAAAAAACACAGAATCTGGCCCAACATGAGAACAATGGGCCAGATCCTCAGCTCATGGAATGCAGCCTGGCACCATTGGCTGGCTCAATATCATGAGAAGAATCCAGTTAATATCATAAGAAGTCAGTCTCAGTGATTGGTATAAGAGAGCAAGTCTGACAATAAAAGTCATGTATATATGGAGAGAGAGAGAGAGATTAGCACTCAGTGATCATCCAGAGCTCTGAGATGATAATAGAGAGCCCCTGACTAAGCCAGCCCTGATTACAGAATGGGCCCCACCTGAGAGAAATTAGGTGATTCCAGGTTTAACTGCTGAGTGGGCCCAGCTGAGGAAGGGCTGGAGGCAAGAAAATGTAGGGAGTCAGAAGGTGCCTGCAGGGTCTTGAGTGAGCAGGGAGGCACCCGAAATGACCTGGGGACAGATTGAGAGACCTATAAGGGAAGTAAAGAGGTGAGGAAGGAAATGGTGTAGGGAAAACTGCACTATGGGTAGAGGATTTGACATAGCTGTGCAGTACAGGGCCCTGGGCTGTAACCCAGAATTGAGGTTGGGACTGGATTCCCTTACCAGCCCCAAGGAAGTGGTGTGCAAGGGTAGCTGGGAGGGGGCTGCAGGCTGAATGTGACTCCACTGAAGAAGAGCTGTGGAGAGGGTGGGTGCTTTTCATTTCTGTTAAGGTAGTTTTGAACTTTAGTTTGGATAGCTGACCCTGGAAGGAATGGGCTGAAGACTGTGCCCTGGCTGGAGGGATGAGTTATCTGAAAGAAACCACCACAGCCCCAGAGTGACTAGTGACAAGGGCTGCTGCCCCACAAGGATATTGTGATGCCATGCCTGGCCATGAGGAAGTGCACAGTGGTGAGTAAACCCTGTTACGATGCTTTTTCTTACATTACTTAAAACTGCAGCATGTCTGAAACAACTACACTTTTGTAAAAAGAAAAGGAGTACTATTACCAGCAGGAGAGTGGGGGGGAAACGGGAAAAACCTTTTGTAGTGATAATCAAGGTGGGCCATTTCCAGCAGTTTGATCACTACAAAAGGTTTTTTCTCCTGCTGGTAATAGCTCACCTTACCCGATCACTCTTGTTACAGTGTGTATGGTAACACCCATTGTTTCATGTTCTCTGTGTATGTAAATCTCCCCACTGTATTTTTCTACTGCATGCATCCGATGAAGTGAGCTGTAGCTCACAAAAGCTTATGCTCAAATAAATTTGTTAGTCTCTAAGGTGTCACACGAACTCTTTTTTCTTTTTATGGATACAGACTAACATAGCTGCTACTCTGAAACCTACATTTTTGTAGTTTTCCTTGTCCACTCTCTCTTTCCGACACCTTGTGGCACTGTATCTTAGCCCTTGTCTACATTCAGCTTCTACTTCCTTCAAAAGCAGTCTCCCTGATGATAGCACCTTTGGCAAACAGTAAATGACTGACTGCCCTTGACCACTTTTATACTGTGTGAGTGAGCACATGTGCTGCCAGACCCCTATCTGAGGTAGGGATTCTTTCAGCAGCAAATTAACATGAAGTGATTTACTTTGTCCATATTGGATACAGGGTTAAAGGGGTGGGGTGGGGGGGGGAAGGGGGAATCACTCCAGATTGCACTTGCTTTTGAAATCTTTACTTTCATATGCCATAAGTCCTCTGGAAGAAATTTCATACAAAATGAAATCAAAGACTACCTACTTGAAACTTCTTTTTTGGATGGGATAAGTATTGCTGGTAAGTCATATAAATAAATGTGCTGCTAAGATTTGAATTTACTAAGGTAATGGCCTAGCCCAAATTTGGTTGTGTGGTGTGTGTGTTTAGTTTGTTTGTTTTATTTTTTTATTCTACATAAACTGTGCTGTAAAATATTATGTCTTCTCTATAAGGTTCCCTGGGGGAAAAATCCACCAGTCTACCAAGTACTGTGTGTTAAAATGGTCAGAGTTACCCAAAGGCACCATTACCACAAGACAGTAAAATCAGATAAGGCACATTATGTGCTGGTCTATATAAACTCCTGACTTAAACATCCATCTGAGTCTTCGGAGGAAGGGGATGGGTGGGATGATCTGCTTTGGTTTTGAGTTTTCTTGGTGGGTTGATTATTCTGCCCTTTGAATATGTTAATAGACAGTTTCCATTTGGTGGGAGGAACATGCAGGTGCTTAAAGGAGCTTGTGGTCTTGCTGAATTTGAAGGATTTGTTGTGTCTTTAATGGATTTAGAAACACAGGAAGTGTCATACTAGACCAGACCTGAAGTCCCGCAAGTTCAGTATCCTCTCACTAACAGATGCTTTAGATGCACACTTTGCAGTAGGCAGATGTGGAATAATCTGCCCCCCCCCATTAGTTCCGATCCTAATCTCTTATAGTTTGAGATGGGTTTAAATCCCAAAGCATGAGGTTTAATATCCCTCCCAAAACTTGTTCAGGTTAGTTATAACAGCGCTGGATATTCTTGTCACACACGTGTGGCAGGGTGTGTGTGCCCCCTTTTGGGGGGCAGGCACTTGTGGAAAGCAGTCTTGTTAGCTGCCATGCTGTGGCTTGCTGCATCTACTGCTGTCCTTCATTGATTGGCTGCATCTAGCTCCTTCCCTCTGCCTGTGCTTTTGGTCTAAGTTTCAGTTTCCTTTCTGCTGCTCTGCTTATTTTCTTTTCTCCTCCTCCCCCGTGGCTTGGACGTTTTTCCTCTTCCCTCTGAGTCAGCTGACTTTCAGTAAGTCTCCGTCAGTGGTGAGCTTGCGCCGCCGCCGAGGCTGTCCCCCTCCTCTTGGAAAGGTCAGGGGGAACTTGCCTTCCCTGATTTCAGCCTGCAGCCCAGAGCAGGGGGCACCACCATCCACCTGCTGCAGCTACAGGGCGCGTTGTGCCGAAGGGTTTTTCTCTCCTTGGCAAGCGTGAAGCCAGGGCAAAGGATGAAAAGGAAAGCTGGGAACTAGTTCTACAGGAGTTCAACTAGTTCAATAAACTGGAGCACAGATGACTGCGGAGCAGAAAGCAGGCCTGCGGTGCTATCGGCAGTACATTGAGAAGATACTGAATCCTGCCTATGTGCTGGGCAACATGAAGGAATGGCTCTCTGATGGTGAGATGCTGGGCTTGCTGTGGGTGGGGGCTCTGGGCATGCTTTAGCCAGGACATCCCTGGCTCGCCATCCCTGCTCCTCTCATGAATGCTTCTCTCCTGGAGAGCAAGTGGTGGGTGACAGTTTTGCCACTTAGTGGGGTTTTCTGTTCTCTTCTCCCCTCTCACCACTTCTGTTTGCCCATTCTGTCTCCTCTTTAATTACATCCTGTCTAATGAAGATATTTCTATTGAGTATTGGTTTTTCAAAATGTTTTCGGCCAAGTACAGCGAGAGTTGATGGTTTGTCCCTTTAATCTGTAAAGATAATTAACCTCCGCAGTACCCTGCAACTCTCTACACTGCTCCTAAAATGCTTGAATTACGATATAGCTTTAGTTTTCCTCACTTAGCACCCACTACTGAAGTCATTAGGAGCTTTGCCATTGACCTGAATGGATGCAGGGTCAGGTCTTTAATTCTTTTTGTGCTGTATTGCCCATAGATCTAGGATTCAAATGGGAGAAAGGAAGCAGGAGATGGGAGAATACAGTTTCCCTTGTTAAATTGATGGTAGCTTAATGCATATAGTGAGGGGACTGCAAGGAAGAGGAAGTTTCCGTTCTGAAATTTTTGAGCTTTGTATATGACATACTGTACTCTGGGCTGAGTCTTTCTATTTCGGTGCTTGGTTGCTCTGTCTATACCTGGCACTGTGTATCTGGGGAAATGAACATTCATTGCTGCCTGATGTACGAGTTTGAAGTGTCAGTTCCCGCTTTTGGGTAGGGACTACCTTGATGTTTTCTCTGTAGCACCTAGCACAATGAGTCCATTACTGGTGCTCCAACGTGCTTCTGCAATACAAATAGATGATGATGGTGGTGATGGAACACCCATGTATTAAGGAATGCTGCCGGTTTTTGCTGGTGCACGTAGACTTTGGCAGATGACAGCGGCAAATGGGTTAATGTGGTGGTACTCCTCTCAAAACACAGCTTTGGGATTAATAGAAAAGTATTCGTCTAATGCCCCAGAATATGGTAGCATATGATTTCACAAATCATATGAAATGCAAGGCGTGTGATTTTCAAAGCCAGTTAGCAGATTTAGCCACACCGCTCAGTGACCGACTCCTTGGCAATGGGTCCCCTGTTCTTTGCAAACAACTCTTACCTCAGACCTGACAAACTCATTACACCAAACACGTGTATTTATCTATAAAGAGTAACAAGTAAGATATCTACAGAAAGCTCTTAATTTGCAAAATACATGGTCTTTGTGTATATATGGGTTGTATTTAAGGAATATTTCTATTGAATGTATGCTTTATGGACATGAAGTAGAAATTAGTCACCAGGGGATAATGTGTGTCAGTGGTGGCCCGTTCAGGCAAGAGGGGAAGTGTCACCCTGCACTGTTTAGCTAGTGAGGCAATGCAAGGCTCAGTTTAGCCTTGTGCAATACTAAGGCCTGGTCTACACTAAAAAATTAGGTTGACATAACTACGTCACTGAGGAGTGTGAAAAGTTCACACCCCTGAGCAGCATAGTTAAGTCAACCGAAATCTCTGTGTAGACAACTTTAGGTCAATGGAACAATTCTTCCGTCGATTTAGCTATGGCCTTTCAGGGAAGTGGATTACCTTCGTTGATGGGAGAACCCCATCGCATTGGCATAGAAGTGCCTATGCTGAAGGGCTACAGCGGTGTACCTTCTGCATTTGAAGTCTAGACAAGTCCGAAGACTTTGAATGGAAACTATCAGAGGCAAATGCAAACAACTGAAACCAGTTAAAGGTAAAAAGGGAACTTTACAACAAGATGGCTTCACTGTCTGTGAAAAGAAACATAAAGATGTTGTTATACTGATAACACAGGAGGGAGAAGCACTCTGCATCCATTCACTGAGGGGGGCGGAACCTTTGGAGCGCAGGGGCGCTGTCCTTAACGTTTGGTTCCTGGTTTTTAAGAAACCAGCCAGTTTTGCAAAAGACGGAAATTTGGAGGGTTGAGGGGGTGGGGCGGGGGGGGGGGGGGGGGGGGAGACTTTCTTTGTTAGACTCAAGTTCGCATTTTATTACTTTCGTTTTCTATCATAATCATTTGTTGCCATCACTCTCAGGTCTATCAGATATCCGTGAAATCTTTACTGTTTCTTCAACTTACTTTTGTTTTATTATAAGTGCTCACAAGTGCTGTGTGGTTTGCAGGAGCCACAGTTTAAGATAAAACTGGTAAATTGGGGTACTGTGTATATTTGAGGGCAGAGGATCTGGGATATCAGGGACTAGCCAGCATCGGGCTGGATATCACATGGAAATTATTCAAAGGGCCTCAGGGATTAGGGTGCATCTATTAACCTACAAACTGAAGTTGGTTGGCATAGCCTAGAGGACAGGGCTTGGGTGGCTGAAAGGCTGGTGGTACCAGGGAGCTGACACCCAGCTACCCCAAGACAGACTCCCTCTTGCTGGAGGCAGGGAGTAGGCTGACCAGATGTCCCGATTTTATAGGGACAGTCTGGATTTTGGGGCCTTTTCCTTATATAGGCTCCTATTTAGGCCCCCCACCTCCTGTCCCGATTTTTCACATTTGCTGTCTGGTCACCCTAGCAGGGGTAACACAGTGCCTCACAGGCTTGGATTCCCCAAGGCTTGCATTAATTTCAGTGAGACTTGTGTGACCAAATCCCCCTTGGCAGCTTTCTCAATTTCAACCAAGAACTTGCAGTGTGAATTTGGGTTTAATTTGTGCATCTCCAGAGATTGTTTCCCATTCATAAAGTGTATATGCTTCCTCTCCTCGCCTCTGGAAGTGCAGTATAAAGCAGATACCCATTGTGTAAATATACCCAGGAAATATTTGAGCACCTGTAGCATTCTGCACCAGGTGCAGTCCCCACTGCTGTCCACACACCAGATCTACAATTTTGACTTATTCATATCTGATTTCACGCTAGATGCCAAAGAGAGAATTCAGACTGAAGAACAGAAGGAGGGGTTGACTGCTGCTGCGGCACTCTTCGTTGACTCTCTACTGCAGCTCGAATCAGAAGGATGGTTTCGGGGATTTCTAGATGCACTGAATGCAGCAGGTTTGTTTTCGTTGGTAAAGCTGACGGTTTTCATTTCCCCTGCTTTTTCATGTCGTGTGTGTGAATTTATTGCTTGTGAAAGGTGCTGGACTGGCCACCCTGGAAAGTGAACGCCTTTTTAGTTCCATAGATCAAGTCGTAGCAGTACAAGCTTCTCCACCAATCCATCTTGTAGCTCGATGGGTCAGCTTGGAGGTTGAGAGCGGAGGTTAAAGTGGGCTGGCTCATGGCAGCTTGGTGAGCTAGGACATGTGCATGTGCAGACACCTGTACCATTCTGTGTCCCAGAATCTTGCTTTTTTTAACTCAAAAAAGCCAGCCAACAAAAACCCAAATATTAGATCTCTAGCCCTTAGGGTTGCAAAGAAAACCTGCAAAATGTGAACCATGTAACTAACTGATGCAGTGACATCTGCAGACAGCCTGAGACAGTAACTCTGAGAGGTATGAACTGCATCAGTTCCTCAAAAGCCTAATTAGGACAACTTAAGTCATTATTGTTTTCTGTGCTGATCAAAGCAAGAAGTTTATATTACGAGGATCTGGGCAATCTGCTTTTAGTGGCATCTTGTTTTGGTTGGTAGAAGCTTGTGGTGGTGGGGTGTGTTTTTTTTTATAAAACTTAGGAGAATAGCTCTAGAAAGAATACGTGATTTTCAGATCCCAGACTGTTTGCAAATATTGTCAGTAGGAAAAAATCTTTTTACTTGTGAATTGAGGAAATTTGATCCATGAGACATAATAAATGGGGAACCCCAACATTATTAGTCTTTTTTCAGAGTAAAGATCACATTCAAATGGTCAGGCACAAAATAAATACATAGACGTTTCCCTTCTCCCTTTGATGGATTTACCTATAAAGAGTAATGTTTGCAAAATCTAAAATGACAGTTTAAATGCAACACTCTTCTTTTAATTTATCAGCATTGTATTTCATTTCCATAGCACTGAGGTGTATACAATGCTGTATAATGGATGAGTTTGTGCCAAATAAGGAACAGATCCCTGCCTTGAAGAACTTATTTTCAAATGGTCTCTAAATGCTCTGATATAAACACCAGCTGTCGTGTGTAGGGGGAAGGACCAGAGGTTTGCTATAAGGCATTTAAAACCCTCTGACCTGAGAGAGGAGAGCTCTTCTGATCTTAATATGATGTAACTCTTGATTAACTCATAAATATACAATGTACTTTAAGTTAGCTTGCATGCAACCGTCCTGTTTGATTTTTGGAGATCAGTAATTCCACCTAAAATGTAATTGTTAAGCTGGCATGAAGGTAATTTAATTGTTTGCACAGGCAACTAAGTGAACTGCCAAAAATATGTATGCTCTCTGCAACTTCTGTATGATCTATACAGAGAGCCACACATTGCACTTTTGATTTTTGCTGGAGGACTTCCATAGAAGTTAGAGATTGAAAAGGCCCCATTACGTTTTCCTAAAGCAGGATTGTTGCCTACTCTGTATATGTAAATATTCTGACTTAAGCAGTTTCAAGCAATGAGGCTTCTACCCTTTCCCCTGGAAGACTATTCCACAGCCCATCTGGGATTAAAAAATACCATTAAATCTACACTGCAACTGTATAAATCAGTAAGTCTGTATGTATAACAATGTGTTCAGATCTTGTCTGATATCTTCAGAAATAGAACAGGTTCAGAGATTGACAGTGAAAGTGATTTGAGGCCTGGGGAGACTCCATAAGAGGAGAGAGTGGAAAGACTGGGGATATTTAGATTCAAGAGAAGATGAACAAGAGGATGTAGCAAAGGTATGCAAAATAAAGAAAGGCATAAAGAATTGAATTGGTCATTCATAATTCTCATAAGGCCTGATTTAAAACCCATTCATATCAATGGGAGTCTTTCTGTTGACTTTAGTGGCCTTTTTGGCCAGACCCCTGGGCTGGGATTTTTGAAAGTGCCTAAGGGAGTTAGGCACCCAAATCCTATTGAATTTGGATGGGAGTTATGTGCATATGCCTCCTTTAAAAAATCTCAGCCTTAATACAAGAATATGGGACATCTAGTGAAACTGGAAAGCTACAAGCATATAAATGATTAAAGGAAACACTTTTTACAGCATGTATAATTAACCTATGGAACCCATTGTCACGAGATCACTTTGAAGCCAAGGGCTTAATAGGATTCAAAAAAGTATTAGTCATTTATGTGGATAGTGAGAATATCTACAGGTAATTAACATTTGCATAATATATGTATAAGGGGTGTGAAGCCTCATGCTTCAAAATGTAAGCCAGCTATTCATTGCCTAGGGATGGGAATAAAGTTCCCATATGGGCAGGTTATTAAATGATTGTCCATTATGGAGGTTTAGTGCAGCTTTCTCTGAAGCATCTGAGAGATTGCAATAATATAAGTATAGTACCTTCAGGGTGTGCCAGCTTTCTTCCACACTAATGGATTTTAACTCTTCCTCTCATTGGCACCCTTACTTACTAGGCTTCTTAACTTCTGAAAACTTACTTTCATGAAAGCTATTGCTGCGTTCTTTGAACTCATTTTTTATTATGCAATAGTGCAGTTCCTTGTCAATTGCTCCAAGCTTCCTCCTTCATACTTTTTTATAAATTTGTTATCAGTAAGAAGTGGATCCAGGGTAGCTTCTCCTTGGGCTACAATCTCTAATTTCTGAATCTTAAAGCTGTGTTCCATATAACTTAAGAACATCTTTGTCCGTTTGGTGGTATCTGTGGCCCAGCTGATAGGAGGGTAGTTTAACCCTCTGCCCCCCCAATGAGTGCTTTCAGATCGTGTCTATTGCAGGATAAACATTGGCTCATGAGTTCGTTCTCTCTGTTCCTGTGTTGGTCTGTAAAACATATTGATGGTTTTGAGTCTCGGACTAAAAAATGACCGTTTAATTGAGAAGCTCTAGCTCCCCTATGTTTTGCAACAGGGACTTGACGTTTGGCAGGGGATCTGTCTGGTGTCTGCAATGGACCTTTGGCTGTTCCCAGGAAAAACCTCCCAAATTTGGACAAGTTTATAAACCTTTGAAAAATCTGTTTGCACATGCCCAGTAGAGGCTTGTTAGAATTTTGGCAGTCCAAGTCTCTGAACATTCAGCCTGCGTGGAGCATGTTCCCTTACATGCTGATAGGAACTGAGAGAGAACGGGATTGTTGCCCCCTTACTAACATTCAGTGGGGGTGTTTTGGTTGGCTAGCTCCCAGTACTAAAAGGGGAAGCGCTGATGGGGAATCAGGAGCCTGAGACTGATGGTCCCCAGAAACAATGCGCAGAGACCAATGCTCCAGGTCAGCCTGATTGACAGGGCGGGCAGGCTAATCAGGGAGTCAGGAGGCCGGGGGCGGGGGTCCCGTCCTCCATGTGAGCTGGAATTGCCAGGGTCAGACAGAGTGGGGCTGAGCTAAGGAGAGAGCAGGGGCCCGAGCAGAGCTGTGCCAACCTGAAGGGCTAGAAAAGCAGCCCAGGAAGCAGGTCAGAGCTGGGAGCAGAGTTACAGAAGCAGCCCACAGAGCAGACCTGTCCAAGGTTGTAACCTGAGCCGGAGACACAGCCCAGGGAGAGCAGATCCCTGTGCTGGGAGCAGAGCTGCAGCCACAGAACCAGGTGTGGTGAGCAACTGGGGCCAGCCAAGGGGGAACTTGGGCAAAGGGCCCAGCGCAGAAAGACACCCCCAGCCAACGGTCCTGGCAGGCCAGACTGGGAGGGGGATCTTAACCCGATGGGGGGCTGATGCTGGGAAGAAAGGTCCCACCACCCAAAGCCCAGAGGCATGTGGCCACCACCATTGCAAGTGTCCAACCCGCAGCATCCCTGCAGCACAGCCAGGGCCTGAGAAGGAGGCCTGGGACCTACAAGGAACAGACTGTGAAGTGCCCTGATGTTCCAGAGACACTTGTTTGTTTGTAATGTTCCCTGCCACAGAACAGGGTGGTGATTTCCTTTTAACCTTTCCCATTTTTCCTTATTCATTTTTTTTAAAATTAATTGTTAATTAAACAACTTGCGTTTGCTTTAAATTGAATAAAATGATCAGTGGGTCCGGGAAGTGCCCAGTGCGGAGAGAGTACCCCAGAGTGGGGACACCCTGGCCCCTGTCCTAGGTGACCATAGCAGGGTTAGGGGTCGAGCCCCCCAGGAATCCTGGGCCCAGCCTTGTCGGGGTTACAAGGACTCTCTCAGACAGGGGAGTGGAAAGGGAGCCCTCAAGGGCAGGGAGGCCTCTGGGTAAAGGAAGTGGGAGTGAGGACTCCGATTCTTTCGCTAGCCCACTTCACCAGGGTAGTGCAGAAGCCAGGAAAGTTCCCCACAATAGCAGGACCATTCCCCTGCTTACATGCAGACTGGAATGTGCGTGGTCCCTCCTCACAGAGCAATTGAGCAGGCTTGTTCCCAGAAATACCTGGACTGAAGACTTTCCCCATAATTACTCTTCTTTGCCACCAAGATCAGTTGTGGCACTGGGTACCAGCACTAAGAGCAGGGATATTCTCTCCTGTGCTCTGAGGGGAAAGAGGAAGCCGCTTGATGTGAATGCAGAGGAGTGAGGAACGTATGGGGGGAGAGAGACGCAGGGAGGAAGGGCAGAAGATGGGGAAGAGGCTAGAAACAAGGAGAAGAGAGGGGCCGTAGCAGAAGTTGGATGGGAGAGGGGCATGAGCAGCGATAGGAGCTGTGGCGATGGCAGAACATCCTGAGCGAGGCCCAGGTCCTGTGGGGGAAAATAAGACAGCATCAGACTGTATACATACCAGGGGGTTGAGTTAAGGTTGTACAGGCAGTATTAATTTTGGTATTTCCTAACTTTTCTTGCTTGACTTTGCAGTCTTAAAACTTCTTTAAGATAGGGTGCCTTTTCTGGGGGTGGGGGGGTGTGGTTTTTTTTTATGGAGCAGTAAGGGTAACCCAACCCCCTTTTCAAAATGTGTTTGCAGTTCACCCAGTAGCTCTTAGACAGTCCTGGGTCAAAATATCTGTTTTAATTAAAAGCGGTGTTTGCTGGTGTAATTTGCCCCATCCCTTTTGTCTTGAAGGTTACACTGGTCTGAGAGAAGCAATTGAAAACTGGGATTTCCAAAAACTTGAAAGCCTGGAAGTACATCGACAGCTGCTGAAACGTATAGAAGCTACGATGAGAGAAATTGATGCAGAACAGATAATTCCTTTCTTAAACACTTGTCTCATAGACCGAGAATGTGAAGAGATTCTGCAGGTATCATTTCAAAATCAAAATTGCAACTTGATTTGCAGAGTTTACAGTTCTATGATTGTGTAGCCCTGACTGTGGCTTCAGATATGTTTGTATAATATAGAAACTAGGGATGTCAAACGATTAAAAAAAATTAAATTGTTAAACAATAATATAACTTTTTTATTATAAATATTTGTGGATGTTTTCTAAATTTTCAGATATATTGGTTTCAGTTACAACACAGAATACAAAGTGTACAGTGGTCACTTTATATTTTTATTACAAATGTTTGCACTGTAAAGATGAACAAAAGAAAGTGGTTTTTCAGTTCACCTCATACAAGTACTGTAATGCAATCTCTTTATTGTGAAAGTACAACTTACAAATGTAGAATTTTATTTTTGTTTTTTATATAACTGCACTCAATGTAAAACTTGAGTCTACAAGTCCACTCAGTCCTCCTCCTTGTTCAGCCAATTGTTTGTTTACGGGAGATAATACTGCCCACTTCTTATTTACAATGTCACCTGAATCTGGGAACAGGCGTTCTCATGACACTACTGTAGCTGGCATTGCAAGGTATTTACGTGACTGACAGGCAAAACATTTTAATGCCTTATCCTGCTTTGACCACCATTTCACTGTAGGCTTTGTACTGTGTTGTAATTGAAATCAATATATTTGAAAATGTAGAAAACATATAAATATTTTTGCATTTTTTTAATTTAAATTGGTATTCTATTGTTTAACAGTGCGATTAAAATGGCAATTAATCACACTTAATTTTTTTAATCAAGTTAATTTGTTTTGGGTTAATCGCTTTAGTTAACTGCGATTAATTGACAGCCCAGATAGAAACAGGAACATGTGGTTTCTATTTATTTCTATAAAAAAGAAGCTTACAAGAAGTGGAAGGTTGGACATATGACCAGGGAAGAGTATAAAAATATTGCTCGGGCATGTAGGAATGAAATCAGGAGGGCCAAATCGCACCTGGAGCTGCAGCTAGCAAGAGATGTCAAGAGTAACAAGAAGGGTTTCTTCAGGTATGTTGGCAACAAGAAGAAAGCCAAGGAAAGTGTGGGCCCCTTACTGAATGAGGGAGGCAACCTAGTGACAGAGGATGTGGAAAAAGCTAATGTACTCAATGCTTTTTTTGCCTCTGTCTTCACTAACAAGGTCAGCTCCCAGACTGCTGCGCTGGGCATCACAACATGGGGAGTAGATGGCCAGCCCTCTGTGGAGAAAGAGGTGGTTAGGGACTATTTAGAAAAGCTGGACATGCACAAGTCCATGGGGCCGGACGAGTTGCATCCGAGAATGCTAAAGGAATTGGCGGCTGTGATTGCAGAGCCATTGGCCATTATCTTTGAAAACTCGTGGCGAACGGGGGAAGTCCCACATGACTGGAAAAATGCTAATGTAGTGTCAATCTTTTAAAAAAAGGGAAGGAGGAGGATCCTGGGAACTACAGGCCAGTCAGCCTCACCTCAGTCCCTGGGAAAATCATGGTGCAGGTCCTCAAGGAATCAATTCGGAAGCACTTAGAGGAGAGGAAAGTGATCAGGAACAGTCAGCATGGATTCACCAAGGGCAAGTCATGCCTGACTAATCTAATCGCCTTCTATGATGAGATTACTGGTTCTGTGGATGAAGGGAAAGCAGTGGATGTATTGTTTCTTGACTTTAGCAAAGCTTTTGACACGGTCTCCCACAGTATTCTTGTCAGCAAGTTAAAGAAGTATGGGCTGGATGAATGCACTATAAGGTGGGTAGAAAGTTGGCTAGATTGTTGGGCTCAACGGGTAGTGATCAATGGCTCCATGTCTAGTTGACAGCCGGTGTCAAGTGGAGTGCCCCAGGGGTCGGTCCTGGGGCCGGTTTTGTTCAATATCTTCATAAATGATCTGGAGGATGGTGTGGATTGCACTCTCAGCAAATTTGCGGATGATACTAACCTAGGAGGAGTGGTAGATACGCTGGAGGGCATAGGATACAGAGGGACCTAGACAAACTGGAGGATTGGGCCAAAAGAAATCTGATGAGGTTCAATAAGGATAAGTGCAGGGTCCTGCACTTAGGACGGAAGAACCCAATGCACAGCTGCAGACTAGGGAGCGAATGGCTAGGCAGCAGTTCTGCGGAAAAGGACCTAGGGGTGACAGTGGACGAGAAGCTGGATATGAGTCAGCAGTGTGCCCTTGTTGCCAAGAAGGCCAATGGCATTTTGGGATGTATAAGTAGGGGCATAGCGAGCAGATCGAGGGACGTGATCGTTCTCCTCTATTCGACATTGGTGAGGCCTCATCTGGAGTACTGTGTCCAGTTTTGGGCCCCACACTACAAGAAGGATGTGGCTAAATTGGAGAGAGTCCAGCGAAGGGCAGCAAAAATGATTAGGGGTCTGGAACACATGACTTATGAGGAGAGGCTGAGGGAACTGGGATTGTTTAGTCTGCAGAAGAGAAGAATGAGGGGGGATTTGATAGCTGCTTTCAACTACCTGAGAGGTGGTTCCAGAGAGGATAGTTCTAGACTATTCTCAGTGGTAGAAGAGGACAGGACAAGGAGTAATGGTCTCAAGTTGCAGTGGGGGAGGTTTAGGTTGGATATTAGGAAAAACTTTTTCACTAGGAGGGTGGTGAAACACTGGAATGCGTTACCTAGGGAGGTGGTAGAATCTCCTTCCTTAGAAGTTTTTAAGGTCAGGCTTGACAAAGCCCTGGCTGGGATGATTTAACTGGGGATTGGCCCTGCTTTGAGCAGGGGGTTGGACTAGATGACCTCCTGAGGTCCCTTCCAACCCTGATATTCTATGATTCTATGATTTCCTTCTGATTAGAAAAATAGGCAGTGATGTGTCCATAGATATGACTGCAAGTGGGACCTGACTGTTGCATCAGGTCACAAAAAATTTATTTATCTGCAGGATAACTGGCTGTAGCCAGTACTATCAGTTGCCCACTTTTATCAGCACAAGATTGAATCATAGGATTTTAAATGAAAAATATATACTGTATGTAAAAGAGGAAACCAATTTGCTATGCCTTTCTGTCAATCTAGACCATCTTAAGAGTTATGAAAATGGATCTTACAGGATTGTTCATGTTCCCATCAGTTAATAAAAGGGTTTGAAATGCAAGTTGTAATTTCTAATATGTGGATTTTGGTTAATATTAAATGTGCTTGTTTCTAGATAAAGGCCCAGTCCTGCAAACACTTATGCACTAGAGAAGCTTCTCTTCCCAAAGAGCTCTCGAGAACGGGGAGCCATTCTGTCACTCCTCTTCAGTGTGTGTGTGTGGGTGCATTAATGTGGCCAAAAGGATAGAGCAGAGAGTCACAAAGCTGATATAGACCTTTAGTGGGATACAGATGTGTTGTAGTAATGCTATTTAAGAGAGAAAAATGAAGCTCTTAAAGCGGATTAAGTTACACTTTGCTAGACAATTCAAAATTACAGCTTCAATTGGGCCTGCTATGGTAATTAGTATCCCCTCTTTACAGACTGTGGAACTGAGGAACAGAAAGCTGTCCTAGACCTCCATCCTGCAAACACCTAAGCACATACGTAACTATACAGTTGCAACTAGTCCAGTGGAGTGCAGTGGGGCTGTCTGTGCGTGTAAAGCTAGGCACGTGCTTAAGTGTTTACAGGATCAGAACCGTGGTGTGCTCTACAGTTATGTAGCTGCACAACAGAACTTTAAAGAGCTTTCCCCTGTAAAGGCTCAACAATGGTTCTCTTTTGAATGGCACACTTTTTGATATTTTGGAAGCAGTCACAAACTTTGCTTGTGCATTACGCAGGTCAGAGAACTGAAAGGCAGAATGGCTGGTGCAGTAAAGCTCATTGAATGCCTTTCTAGGTCAGACAAGGAAAACTGGCCCAAAACCTTTCATCTAGCTCTAGAACGAGCAGGATATGACCCAGCAAGCAAACTGTGGAATATGAAAGAAGGTAATATGCAAATTATTTTTACCATATTCTGTGCTTAAGGTTCTGCTGTTGTACCTGACATGAATCGTCTTCAGGAAGATGAGATTACCTTAAAGGGACACTGAGCTTGATTCTTTTCTTTTTTTTCTTTTTTCTTTTTTTAATTGACTCGGTTAAAAAATGTGTTCTGGGAAACAACCCTGTAATTTTTTTTTTTTTTTTGTTACAGCTAAATTAATGATAGTTCTATGAGAAAACTGCTCCAAAACGCAAAATATAGGGGGAGCAAGGAATATTTAGCATGTGCCCTCAAACTAGTCAGAAATAAATTGTGGACTGGTACAAGGAGGAAGAGGAGGTTGAATAGGCTGCACTTTTATGAGTGTGTGGCACTTCTAAAATCATGGGTCTCCACAGTCATTTGTCTACCTTGAGCCCAGTCTGGACAAGGCATTTTATTTTTACCTCGTAGACATTAAGGCCAGAAGGGACCATCATGATCATCTAGTCTGACCTCCTCCACTGCCAGTAAACAACTTTCTTTCCCAATAAGATTCAGCATTGTGGGAGAACCACTTTCCTGACCTGTCAAACGTATGACATTTAAAGTGGAAAAGATGGCTTAGATGCTTGCCTTGCTGTTGTTCAGATAATGATAAAGAGATGGATGTTGAGATGATGGAGGACCAGAATGGGAACAGTAGTGCCTTGGACATAAATATACAGTATTCCGAAGAAGCAGAAGTTCACAACTTCAGTGAAAGTCCGTGTTCTCCTTCAGGTAATATTCAGCAGCTTAACACTCTTCTAAACATTAGAACTGTGCAATCTTTTGCACTTTTAAAATCTGTGTGTGGTGTCCTTAAAATGGCTCAAAAGAAGATAATTGTAGAAAATAGAGCCTTCTGCATTGAGTTTCCTACTTCCTGGTTTAATTGTTTAACTTCGCTGTTTGCTGCTAAAAATGCCCAGTGCCTTGGGCATGACACGCATCATGTGCTGCCCCTTGTTTACCATATACGCTTACTGGAAATCTGGTGTTTCAGAGGAGCACCCTTATGAAGGGGTTAAAATAGCGGAACTCAATCCAGGGCTCTCCTCTGATTTGAGTAAGTCACCACATGGCTTAACTGGTAATTTAGTTAAAACATTAGCATATCGATCTGTGCCCTGACTGGAACAAAGCTAAGGGAGCCCTAAAATACTGCTTGTTTTCTTAACTGTTTTGACAGATGTTGATTTGTGTTATCACTAGCTGTTGGTCACAAAACAATAACTAGTACCTCTGACAGAGCAGCTCTTCAGTTTTTAAAGGCTGGGAGCTCCTGGATTAAAGAGAACATTGAAAGGTGTAGGAGTCGGTAGACCAGAAAGAGATTAAAAGAAGACCTATTCCAACTGTATGTAGTGTTCATACAATCTGTTTTGGGGAGACCCGGTCAGACATCTTTATCAGGTGCTATGCTTCCTGGTGTGAAAAGGTGGGTCAAGGTAAGATCAGTGTTGACTCTGCCAGCAAAGAGTTTGAAATGAGTTCATCTGAGGGAGAACAAATGGGCTTTACAAAATGCCAGCTTGTAACACACAAACCACTTAAAGTTCCAGTCTGGTACACGGTCGGTTATAAAATCTTTTCCCTCAAGGGTGCTACTTATGTAATTTTAGATCATAACCATATATAGGAGATAATGTATTCTAACCAAACCATTATATAATGGATCATGTTCTTCACCACAGCATATATTGAGCTTTGCTTATTTATGTTCTAGAAGTTTCTCAACAACCTACTTATGGACCAAAGAAGCCTAGATGTTATCAGATAGAGCTTGCCCGGCCTGCTGTCAGTGGGAAAAATACAATCATATGTGCTCCTACTGGTAAGAACACGTCTATACCCAGTGTTGAGGTTTTTATGTTGAGAAGTGCTCTCTTTATTTTGCTGTGTGGTGTGAGAGGGGATGGCTAAGTCAGGGGGAGGGGTGAAGAAAGTCTGGAGGAGGGGGATGGACACCACAACTTTGTCTGTTTAGGACAAAGATTTGTCACATTCTCCCATCAACCTTTTATTTAAAAGCAAACTACCCATTAAGTTTTTAATCCACAGTGATTATAGAGGAGCCCTGAGGACTCACTAGTTATGGTCATGCAGAGACAGTGGGTGAGGTTCTGTGGCCTGCAACATGCAGGACATCAAAATAGATGCTCATGATGGTCCCTTCTGACCTTAAAGTCTATGGCATTTACAGCAGAACTAAAATCCCTCTCTTTTGCACTTTGATGTTTGAATGTTCCCTCTGAAATTTCCAAACTAGCCCTTCATGGGCCAATTACATTTTCCATAATGCTTGTATGGTGCAACATTTGCTAACTTTCACAGAGAAAAGGTTTAAAATTGAGACCTTAGAAATGTATCTCAAGACTCTGCTGGAGATTTTCTGTCTAAGTAAAGAGCTGCAGTCTCTACAAACTCCGGACCTCAGGGACATTTTCATGTCAGCTCAGGAACAGGTCAATGTTAAACTTTAACCATAAAACAGCTATTCCCCTTCTGCAAAGAGTAGCTGACTGGGCAGTCAACTTTCACTGGCTACTTCCCTGAGATGCTGCCAGCCTGAATCACCAACTTCATTCCTCACAGCGGCTTTGGCTGGAAGAGGGGCTGTGGAAGGAGAAACTAAGGTGATGGGAAGGGTGAGCAGGACTGTGTGGGGAGACTTGCAGATGAAGATACCATGGAAGCCGATATGCAGCAGTGACCTGATCCAAAGCTGATTGAAGTCAATGGAAAGACTCATGTTGACAAGCTCAGATCAGGTTCTCCCTGTTGTGAACCTCCTATCATCTAGCACAAGTCTGGCTGAGGGACTGGACCCCCCACCTCACATACCCCCACAATCCTGAAGAATCATGATGTCCCTCCCATGTATCTCTGCTCATGTAACTGTTTTAAAAAAGAATGCAGTGGGGGGGAAAGCTGTGGGAGGACAAAGGAGGACCCTGGAGCAAGCCAGACTGTGCACTGGGAGTGGTGTAAGCGTGAGTGAGGGTCGTATAGAAGGAGTGCAGCAATACATGGCTTAAGGAGAAGAAGTGGGCTTCAAGGGAGGGGAGGGGGGAATAGAGAACATTGGATCTGTGTGGGGCACATAAGAGTTAATGCAGCATGGATAAGGTAGCATAGAGGCCCTTGTGTCAGGAAGTATTTGTGTGGTCTTTGTGCTCTAATTCCCATATATAGTGACACTTTTTGTATTCCTAAAATAAACTCTGTATGCAGCAGTACACAAATTAGTTACAAAAAGGTTGATATTCTGGCTTAAAGGAAAAGTTGGGAAAACAACAAGCAAAATTTAATGGACCTGAAACAGCTGTAATCTAATGAGGAACATCTCTGGATTTTACTTTTTTTCCCTCCCTTCTCTCTCCTTTTTTAATTTTATTTTAAAGTGTTTTGACATAAGCACTGCTCTAGAGAAACAAGCTTTTCATGCATTGGGGAGTTAACTCAAAACACAGTTGTGGGAGGTGATTCTTAAGAAGGTATCCATAACATTATTTAGAATGCTTCCTTGTTTATCAGTAGCAATCATAGCAAAGCCATAAGAAACTGAAGTGAAATGAAACAATCAGGGTTTGTGAAACAGAAGAGCACAAAATTGGTAGGGAATTTGCATCCCTTTAAACAAATAAAGCCAGTACCCTCTGAATGAGAGTTGTCATTCTCCCCTTAATCCGTTGCTTTTTGTCAAAGGACTGTCATCATATATGGTAGATAAGTAGCCTTCTGTACTACTGAGTCTGTTTCAGTACCAAGATCACGAAATAGTGATGCTAAGTATCCTGGATTCCCAACTCCATTCTAATCTCCATTCCTGCAGTGAGCTTAATGTAAGAACATGGGCTTGCCCACAAGGAGCCTTAAATTGTTACAGCTGCACTTGGGGGGAGGGAATATTCCAGCTTTTTGTTACTAATTCTTTGTTTTCATGCTTGATGTTTAAAAGGATCTGGGAAAACCTTTGTGGCACTTCTGATTTGTGACAATCATTTCCAAAACATGCCCAAGGAACAGAAAGGGAAGATTGTCTTTCTAGCAACTAAAGTTCCAGTATATGAACAACAGAAAAAAGTCTTCACGCAACACTTTGAAAGAACCAGGTAGGTACAAGTCCACACATGTAGTCTTCAGGTTTCTTCACTTCAGAGTTCCAAACCATAGAAACCATAGGTTCCTTTACATCCTCAAGATCCTAAATTTTTTGTTACACCATTTCAGGACTGTGTGTCTCAATACAGTTCTGGTAAAAAGTGTGGCCCAAACTCAGAAGATGAAAATACATCCAATCAAAAAGTGACCAAACTGACTTTGAGGTGTAATTGAAGCCTGCCTCTGAAAAGCAGCTACTTAGGTGCATCAGTATAGAGCCCTTGTATGGATGTATAACTTTCATTTAGGTTTAAAGGAGCTAATTGACATGCATCAGCAGGTAAGCTTCTCAGTGCTAAATTCAGGAAGTGTTTTCTCTTTCTTTTCTTATAGCCTAGATCTTTGGCTTTCAGATACATAGGGGGTGGGATAGGTTTTCTGAATACAGTCCACTTCATGAGCAAAGAATGGTGGTTGAATGGATGATGCTGATTAAAAAATCCACTGTCCTAAACCAAACATGTTTCAGTTGGGGGAGTTGCAGGTGCTCAGGACCTCTGAAAATGTGGTCACCTATTTAGAGGCCTGACCCAAAGCCCATAGGAATCAATAGACTCTAATTGACCTTAATGGGCTTTCAGACCCTGGGTATCTAACTTAAGGCACTCACAATTGAAGATTTTGGGCCTGAGTGCATCTGTCTTATCAAATATCACTATCTTACTTGATCCCCTAGGAGATCTTGCCCTATCTTCTGGCTTTTCCTGCTCTATAGGTGTATGAATGTGAACATACTTTGTATTAACAACAAGGAGTCCAGTGGCACTTTAAAGACTAAGATTTATTTGAGCATAAGCTTTCGTGGGTAAAAACCCCACTTCAGATGCATGGAGTGAAAATTACAGATGCAGACATAAATATACTGACCCATGAAGAGAAGGGAGTTACCCATAACAGATTTGAAAGTAGCTATACTTGAACAAAAAAACTTCAGAAACAGACTTCAAAGAGAAACAGCAGAACTAAAATTCATTTGCAAATTTAACACCATTAATTTGGGCTTGAATAGGGACTGGGAGTGGCTGGCTCATTACAAAAGCAGCTTTGCCTCTTGAATTGACACCTCCTCATCTATTATTGGGAGTGGACTACATCTACCCTAATAGAATTGGCCCTGTCGGCACTGGTTCTCCACTTTGGGGTAACTCCCTTCTCTTCGTGTGTCATATATTTATGTCTGCATCTGTAATTTTCATTCCATGCATCTGAAGAAGTGGGGTTTTTACCCACGAAATCTTATGCTCAAATAAATTTGTTAGTCTTTAAGGTGCCACCAGACTCCTTGTTTTTGTGGATACAGACTAACACAGCTACCCCCTGATACTTGTCACCATACTCTGTATTAATGTCACAACACATGTCTTTTCTCTCCCAGGTACAAAGTTGCAGGGATTTCTGGGGAAACGGCTGGGGATGTCTCTTCAGCAAGCATTATTGAAGGGAATGATATCATTGTCTTGACACCTCAGATCCTTGTGAATAGCCTCAAAGAAGGAACCGTTTCTTCCCTTGCCATTTTCACTTTGATTATATTTGATGAGTGCCACAACACCATTGGGAATCACCCCTATAATGTGTTAATGACCAGCTACTTGAACCTTAAATTTGACTCCGCTGCGAAACAGCTGCCTCAGGTAAGGCCCAATCTAGGGGTGGGAGCATTTGAAAAACATGATACAGTTGAACCAGGACTGCCAGCTGAGGTTATGTTAGCTATGCTTTTGATCTTTATCCATTTTTCCTACAAACCCCACCTTGCTTCAAATGTTAACCCTGTGTTTCACGCGGAGGCTTCTGGCTCAGCCACTTTACGAACAGCTGTCTCCTTTTAGTTAGCAAGATGAGACCTAATCTTTTTAACTCCAGACTGTATTCTGATGAAGGGCTCATGGGAGGAAAGCCTATATTACAAAATATAATCCTTGATTTCCTCCTCCAGGACAGAAGCACAAGATTTGGGCCACAATGATTCAATTGTGACTTAATATTTTATAGCCTCTAAAAGTACATTAGGCTCTGTGTTGTCTTTAGAAGCAAAATTGACTATGAATGAGCCAGAATTGAAGTTTCTCCTAGCACTGGTGCAAGACTGGCAAGAACCTCTGGATCTTGAGAAGAATGCTGGGGATGGAGGAGAACAGAATGTAGTGGATCTTGCTAGCTTTTTATTCAAAATATCAATGCCAGTGTTCTTGATTTCTCCCACCTCTGCCTTCTCTTTACTAATAGGGAAGATCACTCAGGGGACTGTCATGTTACTGGCTGCTTCTTTTTAATGACATGCATATAACTAATTTTGTATGTGAATGTGCTCAGATTGTTGGCTTAACAGCCTCTGTCGGCGTGGGCAGTGCCAAGACCCTCGAGGAGACGAAAGAATACATCTGTACCCTCTGCGCCTGTCTCGACATACAAGTCCTATCTACCATCAGAGAGAACACACAGGAACTGGAGGAGATTGTATACAGGCCCAAAAAATGTAAATGTTTCAGTAGGACATTGTATCACTGCTAAGGTCCTGGGTTAGTCTAGTGTCTGAGAACAGACTTAACTGCATCCCCATTCAGGACAGCACTTCAATCAAATGCTCCAAATGAAGCAGCATGTGCTTGAGTCCTGTTAACTTCAATGTAACTAAGCCCACACTTTAAAAAAACAAACCAAAAAAAAAGTGTTAACCAATATTGCCTGGGATGGCTCATTTGTACGGAAGCATGACTGTTAAATTCCAAGACACAATCCTGTCTGCCTCCTGGGTGGTCGCTAAGAGTGGGCAGAGGAAGAGCACAAAAGGAGCTGTCCCCAGTGTACATGGCCTGAGGGAGGGCTAGATAGAATGGCAGTCTGTGTGCTCCTCCAAGTGCTAGGGCAGAGAAGTCTTACTCCCCAAAGGTGGCTGGACTGTGGATCTGTGTCCCTCATAGACCTAACCCATGGATCTGACCGGCCGCATGCCAGGGAGTGATCTGTATGCCATGGGTGCTCTGCCTCTGCATGCCCAAGCCTTTTAGGAAGTGGTGTGCTTCCTGAGACCAAACATCTCCCAATACTCCCTGTAGGGCCGTGTGACTGCACTGTGCTCCCAAGAAGCTCCTAGTCGAGTCCCTAGGAAATGCTGCTGTGTGACTGTGTGGTAACCAAGCCTTTACTGAGAGTTGCATGACAGGAAATGAAGGAAGAGGAATGGACTGAAACACATTAGCTGGATGTTAGATGGGAATTTTCTAGAGCTGACGGGCTCTGTTTCCCCCCCATCATTTCCTAGGTTTGCTTTTTGCAGGTAGTATTTGCAGTGAGGTATTGGTCAAGTAACATAATAGTACAGTATGAATAGTAAACCTGAAATGACGAAAGTCCATTCTTTCTGCACTGATCTTGCCCATAGAATTTTGCCTGTGTAGACCTAGGGATTCTCTTTCTGTGCATGTATAATTCTGACGATAAAGGCATATCTAGGTCAGACTTGGCCCTTCCAAGGATCAAAGACACAACCAGAACAGATGTTGGCAAAGAACGGCCATGCCCGGTGTTCTTCGGTTCAGGCTCCACGTAACAGTTTCTCATGTTGTTTGATCGAGGGCCTGGGAATGTTTTAGTTAATCAGCTTTGGTTTGTGATCTGTTGCTAATCACTTCATGGTTCCTTCTCGTGACTCTAGCTTTCAGACTAGTCGGGAAGCGCCCCCAGAACCACTTTATGGACATTATCTCCGTCCTGATGTCTGAGACTGAGGCCCTGGCAAGCAAGGTTTACCCAATAGGTAAGATTACACAGAATGCAGAGCAGTGGGAGAGAACTGGGGATTCATTCTTAGACTATATCAATAATGAACTCCTCTTAAAAAGAAAAGGAGGACTTGTGGCACCTTAGAGACTAACCAATTTATTTGAGCCTGAGCTTTCATGAGCTACAGCTCACTTCATCGGATGCATACAGTGGAAACTGCAGCAGACTTTATATACACACAGAGAACATGAAACAATACCTCCTCCCACCCCACTGTCCTGCTGGTAATAGCTTATCTAAAGTGATCATCAAGTTGGGCCATTTCCAGCACAAATCCAGGTTTTCTCACCCTCCACCCCCATACACACACAAACTCACTATCCTGCTGGTAATAGCTCATCCAAAGTGACCACTCTCCCTACAATGTGCATGATAATCAAGGTGGGCCATTTCCAGCACAAATCCAGGTTTTCTCACCCCCCCACCCCCATACACACACAAACTCACTCTCCTGCTGGTAATAGCTCATCCAAAGTGACCACTCTCCCTACAATGTGCATGGTAATCAAGGTGGGCCATGTCCAGCACAAATCCAGGCTTTCTCATCCCCCCCCCCTTCTCACCCCTCCTTTTACTTATTGCAGCAGCATTCATTCCTTCAAAGCTTCCTTCCCCTTTTTATTTTAGATTTCTTTTCCTTCCATTTTCTCTTTTCTACTATCTCTTAGATGAAATAGGTTACACATGGAAAACAAGCTTTTTGCTTATCCTTCAAATTGTTTTAATTTGTAATGTCACCAATCATTTGACATGCCATGAAACCAGATTGCTTAGTCTGTCAAATAATTTGAAGTAAAAATACCAGAGCTGCCTTTAAAATGCAGTGAGGTGTTTTTTTTTGTTTTTCCTACAGAAAATGTCCTGGTATGTGGTGTTTCTCCAGATGTTTCATATAAAACGAGACTATGCTAAAGGATCACATAATGAGGCCTTAGGCATATTTCATCTTGACTATTACAGCATCTTCTTTTCCTGTCTCTGTGCTTCATCTCCCCCCCCCCCCCCCAACCTCTTCAGCCTCTCTCAAACTGCAGCTGAAACTTATCTTCCTCTCCAGCTACTCTGACATACACATGGTCTCTTCTGCTCCTTGAGTTCAGTCACTGGCTTCCTGTGTGAATTAAGTTCAGCCTCTTTGTCCTTTGAGGTGCCATATGGCACTGTCCTTCCTACATTTTACCTCCTGTGCTGCTTCTCCCTATTGTTACCTTGGACTTCTCTTCCTAATTACCTATCTTAAATGTTTCTGTCCCCCACTTACTGTCACATATGAGCACCGCATAATCTTCAGTGTATCATGACGACCCTTGTGAAGATAAATTTTACAGAGGGGGAACCATGACACAGAGAGACTGTCAGAGAATGAACCAGGGTGGGGTAGCGACGGAGGCTGCTGTCTGTAGGACCCCAGACTCATTTGTTGCAGAATTTGGAAGGTGTGTGGTGAATGAGGCAGGGGATGGCAGGACTAGAGGGTGGATTCATAGCTGAGAGAGTTGAATGCCACGCTAGAGAATTGGATTCTGTGCCTGCCTCTGCCAGAGTTCCTGTTTGATGCTGGGCAAATAACTTAAACTTTTCACACGTGGCCTTGAATTGTGTGTTCCTCCTTACCTGGGTGCCTGGCTTGAGTCATCGGGGTTTGATTTACAGAAGCGCTGAGTGCTCACCGCTGCAAATGACGTCAGGGAGAGCTCCGGTCTGAATAGACAGTGCTACAAAGTGCTAAGTATTCTGAAAAATCAGGTCCTAGGAGTCTTGGGCTATGTCTACACTGCGCACCTTAAAACAATATGGCTGTGTTGCTGCAGCCATGCCATTGTAAGGTGTGCAGTGTAGCTGCTCTTTATCGCTGGGAGAGAGCTCTCCCAGTGCCAAAGCCACGCCCAGCAAGGGGTGGTAGCTTGTTCAGCAGGAGCCTCGCTCTCGTGCCAATGAAGCACTGTCCACACCAGTGCTTTTCATTGTGAACGCTTTCGTCGTTCAGGGGTTGAACCCCTGAGCAACGCAAGTTTTAAAGATGGAAGCACCAGTGTAGACGTAGCCTTGAGTTGGGTAACCAAAAGATGTGGCTATTTGTGCCCTTGATCTCTGACTCAGTTCCCCACGTGTAAAATGGGGATACCGTCCTCACACCACACAGGAGAGTTGTGAAGTTAAACTAAGTGTTTGCAAAGCACTTGGATACTATAGTGATGAGCTCAATAGAAAAACCCAGGAGGAAATTAAGGCTCTGTCTAATTTAGCAACTTCTGTCGATATAACTGCATTGCTCAGGGGATTGGAAAATCCACCTTATGACACAGACCACACATTGAGCAATGAGGATAACATTAAATACTGACTAGCTCCTCCATCAGTGAACACTATCCATCCTGTGCACTGAATGAGGCAAAGGTCCTATGGAGAAAATAGGATGTGGTGATGTAATTAAAGCCTGTGACATAATGGGCATACACAAAGGGGCTGAACTAATGTTGTAAAGGTTTAAATTCTGGCATTTCCTAACTTCTGAGTGCTTGACTATGCAACCTCTATGCTCTTTTAATATTTATGTAGAGTGCCCTGTATCTTGTTTGGGCTGCTTTAGTTAGCTGCTAAATAAGATGTGTTGATGCCTGTTTCTGCACCAGATGCATTGTCCCACATTAAGAGTAAACGTTTCGGAACGCAATGCTATGAACAGTGGATCGTTGACACTCAGAAGAAGTGCAGAATGTTGCAACTGCCGGATAAGAAAGAAGAGAGCAGGATTTGTAGAGCTCTTTTTATTTACACTGAACACTTACGGGTAAGTGAATGCCCTCTCCTGTTGCATGTAGAGAGGGATCAGTCCTGTTCACAGCAGTGCAGGTGCCTCCAATTAGAAGTAGAATAGGACCCTACACAGTTCCCAGATTTCTGGGTGCTCTTATCTTTGTAGTAATTATGGGATGATGCAATGGGCCAGACTCTCAGCAGTACAGATTGGCAGAGCTCCACTAGCTTTCCTGCAGAAGGCAGGCAAAAGACCTTGAGCCAGATACTCAGCAGTGTAAATTGGAACAGCTCCGCTAAAGCCAAAGAGCTATATCAATTTACACCAGCTATGGATCTGATTCAAGGTCTTGATTGAATTCTTTGTGCTCCAGGGTAACGTGTGAAGGACTGGAGCACACTGGGGAAACCTGCAGCCTGTGGCTAATTGCCTGTGGCACCTGGGAACTGGGAATTGTCATCTTTCTTATAAAATGTTACTTTTATTTTGTATATTGTCTTTCATACAAAACAGTTTGCAAAGTTACATTAAGATCTATGGGTCGAATGGGTGGAATACATTCTAAGAAATGTAATGTGGAATGAATGATCAAATAGTTTAAGGGCTTTAGAATACTGCAGAAATTGAAGATTGGGGGATAGAACTTCAAACATTTTGAAAATAAACCTTCCTCAAGGCATAAGAATATAAATTACAGGGTGATTACTAACAGTGGCATTTGTCTCACAAAGGCTTACATCCCTGATGGACTTTAAGCAGCTCAATAACTACACTGAACTCAACTCAACCCTGAAACACGTGTAAACCCTGTATGATCAGGGCCCCAATTCCTATCTGGCTTACATTCAAACAGAGGTTTGAGTAATCAGTTTGAGATTGGAATCAGGCTTCAGAAATTCAAATTGGAAAATAAATTAGTGGATTTTTCTCAGTCTATGTTAGCGGAGAGTGTAAACTTATACTTGTTTGAAAGGAGCAAACACATTTTTAGCGCCTCACATCTGAGCTGTAGCCTGGATGTTTACTAAAAACTGAACTGTTCAGAGGATACTGCTTGCAGTCACTGTTTTTTCGTGTGCTACTGTAGAAGTAACAAGTATTTCAAATGCAGAAGCTTATCTTAGCCCTGGTCTACACTGGGGTGGGGGGAATCGATCTAAGTTACGCAATTTCAGGTATGTGAATAACGTAGCTGAAGTCAACGTACTTAGATCGACTTACCGCGGTGTCTTCACTGCGGTGAGTCGACTGCTGCCGCTCCCCCGTCAACTCCACCCGTGCCTCTTGCGGTGCTGGAGTACAGGAGTTGACAGGAGAGCGCTCGGGGGTCGATTTATCGCGCCTAGACTAGATGCAATAAATCTATCCCTGCTAGAACAATCGCTGCCTGCCGATCTGGCGGGTAGTGTAGATGTACCCTTAGTAAAATTCACTGGTGGTTTTTGTTTTTGTTTTTTGTTGTTTTGTTGTTTTTTTCTCTCCCCCTTACTGATAAGCATTTGGCCTGAAAAATGAGTGTTTTAAAAATATATTCTCTCTAAACAGAAATACAATGACGCCCTCATCATCAACGAAGATGCACGGACTCAGGATGCGTTAGCCTACTTGACTGAATTTTTCAATGACATTAGAAGTGGAGGGTTTGATGAGATAGATCAACAGTTAACAGTGAACTTTGAAGGTACTTCATGCAGCCTCTCTGAAAGGTGCAAGTACCAGGCGGGGGGAGGGGGGGGAGGAATTATTTAAGGTGGTCCAACTTGCTGCTTTTACTTGTATCCATGTTTAGAGGCTGTAACAGTTGGGGTCCAGACCTTCCAAGCCAGTTGTTTGCATGAAACCAGCTTTGGGTACCCATCTGTTGTCCAGCCCAGGAAAAGACCTTTAAAGTTAATGGAAAGTCATTGAGCCTTTCCCTGTGCTCCCAGTGTACAAATGTCCTGGCTCATCAGTGGGGACTGAACTTGGGACCTTCAGTGCTAAAACCATGAGCTTCTACCCCGTGAGCTAAAGAAGTAATAACCTTAGCTGTCAGCTGTTGTAGACTCTTATTCTCTTATGTGGGTCAGTCGCTATCAGATAAAGACTCACTCTCCTGTGTGTTACACAGAATTGGGAGCCGGGGGGCTAAGGGGGATCAGGAGCGCTAGCAACTTCAGAGGGAGGGGCACATGTTGTGCTCTGTGCTACTTGGGCTCATGCTACCCCAGCACTCCTGCAGGTATTACAGCAATGCCTCTCAGGGGCTGCAATGCTAACCCCCTTCACGAGCTGTGGTTTAATGCCACAGTATAGCCCTGAATTTGGAGAACAGCTGATTAAGAAATCAAGTGTACTAAATTAGGCTCTGATCCTGCAACTGATTGTGCAGACTAATTCCCATTGGGGATTCACATGGATGCAGGGTCTGCCTGTACAGAGCCAACTGAAGAATCATGACTTTGGGGCTTGTCTACATGGCAAGCTAGGGCACTGTAGAGTCACAGCCTCGCTGGCCACTCGCTAAGCCCTCAAGTCAGTCAAGAGCCAGCAGAATCAATATTTGTCTTTAAAATAGCTTTTTTTTTTTTTTTTTTTAAAAAGGCAATTTTCTGGTTTAGATGCCTGCTCAGGGGGTATGCTGCTGTGATTTCTGCTTTAAAATGCAAATGATTCAAAAATATCTCCATATAAAACTTTTGTTTCTTTGTTTTTTAAGAAAACAGTTGAGAATTTTTAAAGAAGTTAGTCCAGGGAAAGTCACTTGACATTTGGCTGCTAGATGTGGGTCAGAATGCTGTTTGCTGGAATGGATGATGCCAACTGCAATCTGAGGAGGTCAACGTTTTCTTCCAGCTAAACAACAGGAACTGAGAGAGGCCTCAGAAGATGAACTGAATGAGAATCCCAAACTGGAGGAGCTCACCTTCATCCTGAATGAAGAATACCGCCTGAAGCCAGAGACCCGCACCCTTCTCTTTGTTACCACAAGAGCTCTAGTATCTGTAAGACCTTCTCTCTCCAACACTACTAAAAAGGGGCAACTAGAAAATAAATATAGGGTAGCATGCTTAGCAGCCTGCCTGGTCTGCGCTTATTGCATATGCCAGGACTCCTTGCATCCTTTTCTGTGACCAAGAGTTCGGAAAGGATTACTAATGGGTGTTTTACTTTACAGGCTTTGAAGAAATGGATTTATGAAAATCCTACACTCAGCTACCTAAAACCAGATACGTTGATGGGGCGTAGCAAAAGAAACCAGCAAACAGGTATGGGAGTTTGCCCTGAGGAAGTAAGTTATGTCATATCATGTGTTCCCAGACCACTTAAATTATTGCATCATCTCTGTAGTCAATCTCCATGTTCCAGGACAAGCCAACAAGCAAATGCCCAAACCACTACTACAATTCCTTCATCAATATTAGGGAGGGATACGAAACGTACAGGAGATCTTACCACATCTAGACGGACTCCTGCTTTTCCTGCTAGAACCTCTGGTTAAAACGCTAGGTGCATTAGCAACAATGCTCTGCTATGCAGTGCTGCTAGATAATTTTAAAAAATCTCTCGTCCTCTCTACTCGGAGCAATGCAGTGGGTGTTCCCTGCCTCATTTGTGGCTCACTCAGTTTCCCTGTGTTCGGAGGTACATATGTTTTAAAAACTTGACTGCACCAAACAGAATAAATCTGACTTATTTTGCGAATGTCTTAGTTTGTTTTAAATAGCCAGGGAACAGGCTCTCATTAAAACAAACCCTTTTTTAAAAGGACAACTTCAAACACTTGGAAGTGTAAAATGTTGTTTGCCAAAGTGATGCAGTGTGACACCCTACATGAGTCCCTCTTTGTTAGATATTGTGCAGCTTTCTAGTCCTCAAACAGTCAGCTGTGTATCCTGATTTGAGGCATTTCTTTCAGTCTGCGAGCAAACAGACTGACTTTCGGTACTGACTGCACGGTTAAGATGTGTATTATTTGATTTAGGAACTTTTCAGCATCTGACTGTGCATTGTATTCTGACTTTATATTGTAGGTATGACACTCTCAAATCAAAAGGGCGTACTGGACTCGTTCAAAACCAACAGCGACAGTAAGATACTAATAACTACAGCTGTTGCTGATGAAGGGATTGATATTGCTCAGTGCAACCTGGTTCTCCTCTATGAATACTCTGGCAATGTCACCAAAATGATCCAAGTCCGAGGTATGGGTCACTGGAGCTTAAGAAACTATTATCATGTGACCATGGTATAGGTCTAGAAAACACCCCAGTCAGCCCCTCTGACTGGCTGTTCTGTTTACTTTTGGCTTCGTGTGTGTATCTTACTCTTACTTGTCTCTGCCTCTGAGTGCTTTCAGATGAATGAAGGGTCAGGACAAGTCTTGATATCTATTTGTCATAGGACGGAAGAGCCATTGATTAGATTCGTGTGTGAGAGTAGATTATACACATCACACAATGATGCTACACTTTCAAGGAACATCTCTTAAGCATGCATTTGTGCAAGCAAGTAAATAGAAATATGCACAGAAGAAGAATTGAACTGCAAGTGCAGTTGAAACTCTGCAAAACATGCCCCCATGGAGAATTCAGAAGAAACTCCATTAATGGCGTCTCGCATAGTTGCTTGGCCCTTCTACACAGTTGTTTGCATATGGGCACAATCTGTCCTTAAACTTGTGTAACACAGTGCCCTCAGGTGGATTATGGGAAGTGTGGCCTGAACCTGGGACTCCTGCATTTAAAAACAAGTTTCTACTCATAAACCATTATGTAGTCCAGCCACTGGAGGGGGATAGAGGGCCCTACTCTAAATGGGGGTTACACTTTCACCTACAAAAGGGAAAAAGGTCATAAAATTACCTAGCCCTTTTAAAAATTCCTCTGCAAAATTTAATTCTGTGAGCTGAGCATGTAGTCAGGCTATGAAATTCAATATTGGTGTGAAATGGTTATTTTACTCATTTGAAATAGACCTTTCATTGAGTGAGCCCCTGGCTTTTGGGGTTTATAATCACACTCAATGTCATGGTTTTATTGTTACTTATTTTTGTATTAAATTACCTCAAAATTAAACTTAAAGTGGTGAAGGAAAAAGATCTCTCTTGCTACAAGTGCTGTTGTAAATACCTGAAAAGTTGGGCAGATTAACTTAAAATAATTTTTGGAACTCAAACTAAATGTGAGTAATGGTTGGTTCTAACAAAACCTCCTTTTTAAAAGCATAGGATAACATGGGAATCCTATGAATTATTATTATTAGTAGTAGTAGTAGTAGTTTGTATCACGGTAGAGCCAGACTCCAGTTGAGATCAGGGCTGCATTATGCTAGGCATTGAAAAAATACATAGTGAAGAGACCATCCTTCCCCTAATGGTATTTCCTACTGTCACCTATGAGTTTTCATTTTGGTGGTAATCCAACAACGGGACAGATAACTAATGGATGTTCATCTCTGTCTTGTTCTTCAACTAGCCATACGGATTTTTCTCAAAGAAACCACTGAGACAATATACAGTGGTGCTGGCCACAAAATATCTGAGCTAATCACCCCGAAGGCCTCATGTGCCAATGTGTAACACAGTACAGACAGAGAACACATACAACATAGGGTGGGGTCTTTGTAACTTCAAAACTTCATAGAATATGTGTGTCTTTGGATGCTTGCTTGGATTAAGAGGGTCTGAGCCCAGTGAATTTTAATTGGGAGGCTTTTCTAAGCATATGTAGTTGCCGCAGCTTGGGAGTGGGTAAGGGACACATGAGGAACCATGCAGAAGCATAATGTTTCCAATGTCTCCATGCCTGCATTGAGACCCAGGCTTTGTGGCACAGCTGGTCTGCTGTTTTGCTCTGGTCTCTATAGACAGTTATAAAAGGGCTTCCTGTCACCTCCCAGGTCGTGGAAGGGCAAAAGATAGCAAGTGCATCCTTGTGACAAGCAAAAGCGAAGTGGCTGAGAATGAGAGAAACAATATCTATAAGGAGGAGATGATGAACAAAGCCATTGAGCAGCTGCAGGAGTGGGATGAGGAAAAGTTCGCAAGGAAGGTGAGTCCACTCGCTGCCATTCTGCATGTTCTAGATCAGAGACAGACCCTAAACTGGCCACCGTCACAGGGCTCTCTCAGCTGCACCGAGTATTCACTCAGGGTGGAATTCACCCTGTGCACAGACAAAGCACGAGGCCTTTGCTGAACCTGTGAACTGGGAGCCAGTGGGAGGGGTAAATTTCCCCCTGTGTGTGCTAATCCATTGTGTTGCTGTGTGCTGTTTCACCCCCATGGTAGCTGTGGAGCATTGGTGGTCAAATGGGTGTTATAGCGACCTATTTGCATAGCAATATATGAACACTTATTTTGCAGTTGTTCAGTACAGTAAATTATCATATCTGCATGGGGCTGTGGGTAGGCCCATTAGCATTGAAGAAATTTCTGAGGGCTTGGCTACACTTGCAAGTTAGAGCGCATTAAAGCAGCCCCAGGTGCCCTAACTCCCGACCTGTCCACACTGGCAAGGCACGTAGAGTGCCTGGATGCTACAGCTGGAGTGTTCCTGGTAATACACTTCTCGTGGGGGTGGAACGCTTGCTGTGCCCCGGCTGAAATGCCTTGATGTCAGTGTGAACAAGGTATTGCATTACTGAGCTCTGATCAGTCTCCTCTTAAATCAAGTGGCAACTCGCTGTAGGAGTTCAGATATCCCCTTTCAAAGCTCAGTTTCTGACAGCCAGCTGCTTATCTGCTCCAGGACAAAGCAACCATTAGTGTGGAATGGAGGTGGGTGGAGGGGGGTGTGAGAGTGTGTGAGAGAGAGAGAGAGCACGCAAGGTGGGGACTGGGGGGTCTGCTGCTGTCTGAACTTATAAGACCACATGCTGACATGCTGTCAGCCCCCCAAAAACCCATACGCAAAACACACTCCCTGTCACACTCCTCCCTCCCCCTCACCCTTTTGAAAAGCATGTTGCTGCCACTTGCATGCTGGGATAGCTACCACAATGCTCTGCGCGCTCTGGCATTGCAAGAGTTGCTTATGTGGCCACGCCAGGGCACTTGAATCTGACAGTGTGAACACACGGCAGTGCCTTCCCTGCTGCGGTCTCTGAAGGCTGGTTTAACTCCCAGGGCTCTACATCTGCAAGTGTAGCCATGCCCTGAGTTGATGACAGAAACCAGTTTAAGCCCAAGTAGTTCATTGTGTCCACACTGGGTATTCTGATTCATGTTCTGAACCATTCCAGATTTGCTCTGGGTCTACACTAGCAATGTCCTGTTTGTAGCCTTTGGCTACTGATTTCACAGCTCCCTGAAGCCGTGGATTCTGGAAGATTTCAAAGGGCCACTGGTGAGCAGGTGGGGAGTGTAGGAGGATGGCTCTTTGAATGATGTTTAGGCTGCTGGCAGCCTAGTCCAGACAATATTTGTCACGCACATACTCCCAGCATATTTGTAAAGCCCGTGGTTTATCTCCTACATCTTAGAACTGAAAAAGTCTCCCGTGTGGAGAATGTCAGAGAGATGCTGTCCTTCGTGCATACTGTCCCAGTAGTGGTGTCTGACTCCAGCAAAGAGTCTGGCCCAATCAGCAAAGCTCTATCCACTTCAATGCCAAAATTAACTTTGACCACTGTTTAACTGCAGTGACTGCAGAGATGAAAAGCAGTCGGTGTCTAACATTGGCCAGGATCTGGGCCTAGGAGAGAGTATTGCATTGTAGTGAGCACCCTGAGGCTCTGACATAACAAATATGCCCTGAGCATGCTCAGAAGTGAGTGGTGGCGTGTGGGTTTTTTCCTTCTTCCCCTGATGCTCTTCACTCTTCAGCCATCTGACCATCTTAGACAGGTGCTGGCTTCATATTTCTACTAAAAAGGGACTTTGTTCAAGAATTGGATGTCAGGAACTTCTACCACAATTCTTATGCATGGGGATAACTGGAGTTGGCAATTCTGAAAATAGGTGTGGTGCCCTTTGGGGAGTTATTAGACCCGAGAGACTGAGTCACATTTTCATAGGAAATAGTAGAAAGGAGCTTGAATTCCACCATGACCACCATTTTCAGGACCAGGTCTACAGCTGGTGTAAATCAGCATAGCTCCATTGACTTCACTGGAGCTACATGGATCGACATCAGCTGAGCATCTGGCCCTCAGTGTTTCTCTGAAGATCATAATATCCATTTGTTTCTAATGCTTTGGTTTTTAGATAAATGACCTGCAAAACAAGGAAAAGACTATGCGAGATTCCAGAAAGAGAGGGAGAACACAAAAGCCCCTAGGGGGCAATAGAAAATTGCTCTGTGGGAAGTGCAAAGCAGATGCCTGTAATACAGAAGACATCAGGGTTATAGAGGTAAGCGTATAGCTTAGGAATCTGTGAATGTTATGCTGTGCAAATAGTTTACCAGCTGAGTCTTACCAGTCCAATTTCAGTGTTAGATTTGGTGTGGAAGTTTAAAATGACCAGTTTGATGCAGAATGGGACATAAGAACTTTAGTAACAGATCACACCTGTGATCCATCCTGTGGACAGTATCAAATATTTCAATGAAAGGTGTGAGAATCAGTGTAGTGTACAGTCATGGAACAACATCCTGTAGGAGAAATTTCTTCCTAAGTCCAGGCTGTTACCATTTAACTTACACTCATAAACAGTGATTTGATTTTTTTTATCCTACATAATGTATGTTTATCCTCAAGCATGATCCATTGGTTGGTAAATGTATACAAACAGGAAATATCCATACCTAAACAAACCACCCATCTTTATAACCACACATGTTCATATTATACAGCTACAATATACATGGTACCTGGATACTTAATGTAACTGGCTGTTCACTTTCCACCCACAGGTTACTTTCTTCTGAATCTTTTTTGCTGCAGGTTAGCACTGAGTGAATTTCCAGTGGTTGGTTTATGCATGGTGCAGGGGGAAAAATAAGTTAGCTGCATTACCTTTCAGTTTCATTAGCTGCCCCCTTTGTTTTTATATCATGACAGAGGCTGTATAGGAGTGCGCTATTTACTTTCTCTATGCCATCCAATATTTTATATAGCCCTCTCACGGTGCTTTCATATTCATCTCACTAAAACAGTTGTGATCTTCTCAATCACTCCTCCTATGGAAGTCTCTCTAGCCTTCAAACAACTTTCATTACCCAGAGCTGAACCCTTTCTTGCTGCTCTGCATCTCTGATGAAGGGAGCAGGGCCCAGCATTCCCGGGGAAGGCGTATCCTTGCTTTACGGAGCAGCACTATCCTTTTAGGGTTATTTTTCCTTCTCATTTCTTAGGTGGTGCAATGTTTTTTGCTTTTTTTAGAACTGCTGCTGCGCATCATTCACATGTTCTCATTGGGCTGTCTAGGGTGACCCAAGGGTCTTAGTCATGCTCTGCTCCCACCCACTGATGGTGGGAAAGTCAGCTGGGCAGCTCTGCAATTGGAGAGCCTTTTCCTTGAGCCAGGAAATCTAAGCATTGATGTTGGGGTTTCCCATGCCTGGGGTATTTCATGTGCTGCAAACAGGTGGTTTCCAAGCAGTGGGGAGACTGGCAGAGCACAGCTAGGTGATCTCCTGCTCCCTGTTTTAAACAAACTCCCTACACCTGAATTGACCTCTCTGGAGTTTCCATCCAGCTCCCCAGTGAGACAGTAACCGACCTTAGGGACTATGGAACACAGTCCTCTTAAAATCATTTACACTTGTAAGGACAGCTGTGAAGTGGCATGCACTGTTATACCACACAAGGGGAGGTGGTAATAGGAGATTTATAAGAGAAGACTCAATAAATTTTCACCAATGCAGCAGGGACTTCACCAATCCTTGCAAATTACATTTGGTTTTACAATTTCGTGTGAGAAGGGGAATGAGTGACAGATCATCTCTTACTTTTTTTGTAAGTGAATTTCCTTTTTCATAATTGCTACTGCAACTCAAGCTATTTCTTATAGAAGAATAAGGTCTTGCAGCTTATGGTTTAAACCACGTGACAGAGGCAGAATTCCCTTGGCAGTAGTGTAAGATCAGTGGGAGCTACAGGTACTCAAGCCATGAAAAGGTCCCAATTCAGGCACCCAAAATTAGTTGGCCCTTTTCAAAAGTGCCAATCCTACTAGCTCCTGTGTCAGAATTAGAATACTTGACCCAACTCTGCTGCCAAGTAGGCTATGAGGGTAAAATGCTATGGGATTCTCTAATGAAAGGCACTCATGTATGAAGGCCAACAAATGGAAATTTAGGAATTATGATAAATTTCTGGTATTAAGCTACATCTAATACTTTTACTGTCATTTTTAGGAGTCTCACCACACAGTCTTAGGTGCCCTGTTTAAGGAACGTTTTCTAACAAAGCCTCACAAAAAACCAAGCTGCTATGACAACTTTGAGAAGAAATGTAAAATGTACTGCCGGGACTCCAAGTGCCAGCATGACTGGGGAATTACAGTGAGGTACAAGACGTTCGATGACCTCCCAGTGATCAAAATTGAAAGCTTTGTGGTGAAGGATGTCACAACTGGGAAACTCTCAGTTTTCCGGAAATGGAGGGATGTGGATTTTGCGATGAGGGAATTTGACATTAATGAAATGTCCAGTACAGAGTGAGTAACAACTGGTTCATCACCACCCTACTGTGTGAGCTATTTCATACACAAATGCACATTCCTAAATACATGCAGAATGGGCAAATGGCAGCACTTGCTTAAAGAGGGCTCTGCAGTCTTTCATTCGTAATTCTATTATGAAGGTTATGCTATCTTGTACTCAGTTCTAAGTGGATGGATGTAGATAATAATGCTCTAAGAACTATTGTATTTCATGCCATGGCTGATGGACTTTTTTTTGCCCATTTTATCTCAATAGTCTGGCATTCTTTTATGTACACTCCCTCTTCATTATTTGTCACCTCCAACAGACTAGTAAGAACACTTCCTAATTTGTATTCTGACTGTATGCTAAGTTAAGTCTTCACCTCTGCAAAATAGTTTGTGTGGGAGGAAAAAAACAAATTGAATGCCTAATCAAACTTATTAGCTAAAACATCTAGATAGTTAGGTGCAATTCTGTAAGTGAACAGTTGAAGTTGCATGTTTTGCATTGATGTATCTGTTTTGTTGCTATTTGTTCATGTTGCACTTTATGCAGACCATGTAGCCTGAACTCATTAAATCTTAAATTCAATTCACCTCCAGATGTCATTTATGCTAGGATGTAGAGTTGTTTACAGGCAAAATACAATGCAGGTTGGTTCCTTCACAGTAAGGAACTGAAGTCAGATTTAAAACATTCAACTTTCTGGATTTAGAGACTACCCTTGGTCCCTAATTTAGTGTGCTGTGAGGAGGACTGGATAATTTTTGGTTTTCAACTAAACAAACACTTTTAGATTTAAAAAAAATCTTGTTCGGAAATGTTAGGCCACTTAATCTCCTAGTGGGAGGCAGGTCTAGCCAGAACTGATTTAAAGTCAAACCAAGAGCTCCCATTATACCTGCAAGAGGTTCGCTTCATCCCTCCCATTAGACAAATGAAATCCACTGTTAGGATACAGCCAAACAGACAAGGATAAACAGTTCCTTTGTTTTCAGGGGAAGCAATTTACTTTTAGGTGGAAAACTTTCTCCATAGTGGTGAGTGGCAGCTGTTTAACAATTGTGCACTGCTAACTAATAAGTAGCACAATAAGTTTAAGTAGACACTTATCAGTATTGCTCTGTTAATTCCTCATGAAAATGGATGCATTTAAATAAAACTTTAATAGAAGTGTGATTAGTAATCCATAATTAAGTAGTCTTTCTACAAACTGGTTACTTCCTACAGCAAAATTGAAGTGTTAGAAGATTGAACTTGAGCATTTGACTATTTCCATTGTTACACCATTACTTTCGGAGTTTAGAAAATTCCCATTCATAAAGCCAGTGTGTTTCTTATCCTTCTGACAATCTTTGTGACTGCAAAGTTAGTGTGCTTTAATGTAGTACAATTTCTATCAGGGTCGATACAGATAAACTCATGCATGTTACCCCCACTGTGAAGACAAGCCCAAAGATGTTCTAGGCTTGATGCAGGTGGTCACAACAGTCCCTCATTATAGCTTTCAAAATGTCCTCTCCCCCAGTAGTTAAATAGTAATATGGGAGGAGCCTCTTTAGTAGCACCTAGTATGTTCAATGTTTTGGAAGCCACTACAACCAGTGTGTATGCAGTGGACACTTATTTAAAACCAAATGTGGAGTCTTCAAAGAGCCACAAACAATATTCTTGTTGTAGTAGTTGCATCTTACCTGTAATTTTTTGTAGGTTGGATGTTTATCCCTGAAGGACCCCATTATCAAACTGTACTTCTCAAACATACTATCACCCTCTTGCTAAAGATAAGTCTGTATGCAAAGAAAGTCCAATGCTATAGTGAAATTTTCAAAAATAGATTTTAATCTTAGAAATTTGTTGCCCAAAAGGTCCACTGTCCCAACAAAACCTAGTGCTTAGAGAAGATGTTCTTAAAGGAAGATAATTCACATTTTGTAGTTAAGAGTAAGCTAAGCAATTTACTAATTTCAGCATTAGCCACTCAAGGAGGGATTCCGATCAAATGCTGTTTAAATAGGAAGAAGCCAACCTCAATCTAGAATCCAGGGAAGGGGGCTAAAAAAATCCCAGTGTACCCTGTCAGTTTCTGGGAAATTGAAATGAGCATAGGACTGTATCTGACTGACAGGTGCCATCAAACAAAATGCACCATGTACAAATCACCAATTGTTACAGAACAAGCTTTGGCAGTGGTTACAGATCCACTTTCTGCATCACCCCATACTAGAATAGTCAATCTAGCCATCATACAAAAAATAAATGATTGTGTCAGGAAACTGAACACATTCTACCTTTTTGTAAACAAGCCCCTGGGTAATACAGTCCACAAGGAGACAACTGATTTCATGGTTTAGACTTCTAAGTTCTGTGCTTATTGGGCACTCATGTGGCCATCAAAGGCAGGTTTCTAACTGGACAGGTGCTTGCTGTTGCTTTAATTAGGACGCCATTTTACGGATCATGTAGTTCAGGATGCCACCATTGCGGAAATAAGTGAGCTCCACATCAGTGTCAAACCTCATGATGGCTTGGAAGGTTTTCCCTGTATCCAGCTGTGGGGATTAGAGAGAGAACATTAACAGAGTAGATCCTGCTGTCTAAGTTCTGCCAGTGTGCCAAGTGCAACAGGATCTGGTAGTGAAAGGAGGATTATTTCCCACATACAGCTGGAAGCCATGCTTTAGCAATAACAAACATTAAGCAGCCAGTAATGTGCAGAAGTGCCAGACTTAGCTCCAGAATTTAGTAATGGTTTACTTATGTCTTGGAGCATGGAAGTTTGTATCCCTTAAAGTGGTTAACTTTGTTTTTAATAGCTAAATACAACTATTTAATGTTTCTAAATTCTTGGCTTCAGTAACGTGGCAAAAATATTAATTCTACTAATGTTTTTGCAGCCTCATTTTCTGTGGTGTTGGCACAGAGGATAGGGAACCAGGCAAAAATCAGTTATGAAAAGGTTAATCACTGTTTCTATACTAAAAACTGTACAAGCTCAGCATTTCCCCAAGTTGCACACATTGTGGATTGAGATATTATATTTTAGTTTCAAATGCATGAAGTGATGCACTGGGATTTGTAGTTCTTCCCTTGGGGGGGGGGGTGTGTGTGCTCATATATATTTTTTTAATTAAGCAGTCCCCTACCCACAGCACTTCAGACTTATATTGGACTACTTTGAACTTTACACTATAGCAAAAGTGGCGAAGCCCTCACATGTTGGAAATCTCATCTAAGAATGTGCTCACCATTTATTTGGACCTAGTGTATTGAATGCTCAGCTTAGTTTAGCTGTATGGCACTGACTGGTGTGCAAAGTGTACAATTTATATGGGTGGAGGAAGTCAAAGTTAAGATTCAGTGGACTGCATCTGTATTGTGTAGTTGCATGAAGTACACTTTATGGATTTCATTCTATGCCACAGCGTTTCTGTATGAAGGTGTCACTCACACAACAAGCTTTGCACCATAGCAGCAGCTGGACCAAGAATACTGGAAGGTGAGAGAGAGTGAGTTTGAGGGACTTGCTCACTCAAGGGTGCTTCTGAAAATCCAACCCACAGAATTCTGATTACCTTGATCTGGACATTCATCCTTGGTGCAAGTTCTTCAGGAATGACAATTGTGTAACGTTCCCGTCCTGTGAGACCTAGACTCTCAGCATCCTCTCCAGGCAGATACTGCAGGGGAATCACTCCCATTCCTACCAGGTTACTGCGGTGGATGCGCTCATAGCTCTCAGCAAGGATGGCTTTGATTCCCTGGGAAATGCAAACATTCAGCTGTGTTTACTGTAGTCTCTCTATAGAGGCAGTTGGGAGAATTCTCCTTATTACTAAACAGAGTTATAGGCAGAGATTTGCAAAAGTGACTAGTGATTGTGTTCTAAGCACCCCAAAGGGGCCTCAGAGGCTCAGCCTGGATTTTTCAGAAAGTGCTCCTTTAAAGGTATTGTATATGGGGGCCTGGGCAATAAAGTCTCATAGCGCACACACACAGGCACCCTGAGTAAGCTTGTGCTCTGGGCCACATGACCTCTGTTCTGTGGATAGGTGTCGTTTATACTGTGCTGTCTCTAAGTGCTGCACTGTTTGTATGTTTTTAAATAGTCACACCATTGATCACATGTAGTACAGCAAGCCCTTAAACAACTCCCAGTTTCAATAGAAACTTGCACTTTTTCCAAGAGGTTTGGTTTGAATGGAAGTGTAGAAAACAAACCAAATCCCCACTGAAGCTAAGGACAAGACTCCATGGGGTAGTTTAACAGCACATAGGAGCCCCCCTCACCGACTGCATCCTGTCAGTGTTTGGTATCATACAACCCCAGAACAAAGTCATTGCCCCACAGAGCTCTAAGTCCAGGTAAGTAAGTAACTGTTACAAGTTCTACCCCTTTTTGGTTGGAGTGTCATGCACAAACCTACCATAGTTAAACTTGGGGGAATAATTTGCCAACAGCCTGTAGTATGCAATCTCTTGCTTTTGGTGGGTGGTTACTTGTAGCGTGGTGTTGGTCATCTCAGTTGTATGCTATTGTTTCTGCAATAGGGAGTCCTGTTTGCGTGTGAGACTTACCTGGTTACTGGGTAAGTATGAATTTCCTTAGGAGGGATAACTGGCTTCTATAGTATATAGCTCTTGTTGTGGGCTACAACACTGCTGGGTATCACAAAGGCTCTGCTGTGCATGTAGCAGTTGCTTTGTTCTCAAAGTTAAATCAGTTTTCCCAGTAGAAGCCCCTTCTTAACCAGCATAGACAATAATCTGAATTCTCCTCTCATTTGGTCTAAGTGATTGATAGTAGCATTCTACTTAGACACACCTTGGAATATTCCTTCTGAATTCACCTTCAACGGGGAGTTTGGGCACAGGATGCTCACAAGCATCTAGGAAAAGTGAACAACGAAGGGTGGTTCTAACTTCTCCACTTGCATTTATTACAGAGTCACTCACCAGTAGAAAAGGGCCCTTTGCTGCCCAGTCCCTGGAGCTTCCTGAGCCATACTCCTTGCCGGTCAGCACAATCAGGGGATGGCCTGCCTGCTTGTACCTCTCAGCAGCATCATACACATCCAGCTGGAAGGAATACCAGATCCATTAGATGCCTCGTAGGGACATAGACTGGGAAGCAGCAGTGCTCTTCAGTGTGTGCACAGCTACCAGACGGGTGCTTTAAGAACACCATACATGTGTGAAATACCACCGTTCCGCATAGAGCTAGCCTACAACCCCAGGCAAGTGTGCTTTGCTCAGAATGTGAGGGGCTACGGATGGAGTACTAGGACATCAGGTCAGGTAATACCTAGGGCTTGTCTATGCTATGGCGCTTTTAGCAACAAGGCTGTGTCAACACAGCCTCATCACTAAACGCCTGCAAGTGTACACGCTCTTTTGCGGTATTTTGTCAGCACTTTTGCTGACAAAATACTTCCAGCCCCGTGAGTGGCATAAACTCTGTCAGCAGGAGAGTGCTCCTGCCGACACCACTGCTTGGGTCGGCAAAACTTTTGTCTTTCACTGGGGGGGCTTTTTAAGTACCCATGAAAGACAAAAGTTTTGGTAACAACTGCGCAGTGTAGACATAACCATAGT